TGGGTCCAACAGAGTAGGTTTTACCTGAAGATGGAGATAGACTCCAATCTCCAAAACGTTGTGTTTTTATTGGTTTTATTTAGTTTTGGATAATGGATAATGCCCAGAAAACAGTTGCTTCAACAACACACCATCATCACAAACTTTCAGATTTGAGAGAGAGCTAATCAAATACATGTGCTAGTTTCTCATGAAAGCTGTCCTTTGTACCATCACTTTTGTTCTCTTTTACTGCATACACATTTTTAAAAAAAGTCACACTAGTGGCCTCATAATACAGGTGGCCCTCAATTTATGAGTTCTTGCACCATGCAATCTCCTAGACGTTTACTGATGTTTCACAGTTGCTTACTGCCTCCATCATGACCAGTGTGGAAGAGGGTGAGAATAGGGCAAGGGCAAGAGCACAGGAGCCAATGGAGAAGGGCTGGCTATTGCCTGCCCAGAAGAGAGGGAGGGTGTGCATTCTGGATGGCTGAGCTTGAGGTCTTCCTGGTGCTCCCTGTGTATTCTTGTCATGTTGCCCATCTCAGTGTTGTACACAGTCTTCCATTCACATGGGATCTTGTTGATACCTAGCTACGAATCATGCATCTTTCTCAGTGAGAGATACAGGTAGCCCTCGATTTATGCTGGGGATGCGTTCCTGGACGAACCGGCGTAAATTGAAACTTTTATAATGTAAGTCAATGGGAAGTCAATGACATGCGTTCCCAGCACCCAAACATTGACGAGTAATATAATGGCATTACATTTAAAGCTCTGAAGTAATGTAAATAAAATAAAGGGAATTTAAGAAATATATTTTATACACTTACAATCAGCAATTCGTTTTCCCCGCGATTGACTGCTATTCTTTCATGTGATTGATGCGTACAGTCATCTCTGCTGTTATGTGATAGTTTCATTCATGTAAGACGCCGACCTATACAAAATCACTTAATAAAAATAACCCTGTTACCTCCGCAGAGATGAAATTAGTCCTTTGAAAGTTTAAAGCTCCAGGAATGAAACTGTATAAGAGCAAACTCGCATATGCAAAAGTTTGCATTTCACAAACAGCTTTTACTGATTCATCAATCTCATTGGAGCAAACTCCCATTAACGAAATATACGTAATTGGAGAGATGACTGTATTTATAATCCTTATTCAAAATCACTTTTTGACTTGCTGGTTTCAAAATCGGCATTATTCTGAATCAGCACATATTAAACCGGCGCAAATCGAGGGCTACCTGTATGTGTAAATATGATAGCTGGTGGAACATAGGTACCACTTGTACTGATTTTACAGACAACAGCCACAAGCTGCTTTGTTTCAGCAGACAACCTGTCCATTATATTTTTCCCGTAACCACTGCAATAGCTTTGACACCTTGTTTGGAAAAGTTGTCACTCCTTGAAGATTTCTGTCTACTGGGTTGTTGCGCTGTGTAGTCTGGTAGATGTTTACCAACATTTCAGAGGTCATACTGCCTCCGTCATCAGGGCAATGAATGTGCCAATTGGGTGGGTGAGGCTAGGTTTGTAGGAGCCGGACTACACAGCGCAACAACCCAGAAGACAAATCTTCATACTCACCGCTGTGAAAACCTCAAATCATACATTGTCACTCCTTATTAATCCATGTTGTATATTTGTATAAAGAGTTGGAAGGGGGAATATTTTCCCGCCAGTGATTCAGGGTTATCAAAAAAAATAGTTTTAATTTAATTTAAACCCATCAATTGCGCTATACAGTGGATTCCGGTTAATTGGGACACATTGGGACAAGAACACTTAGGCCCAATTATGCGAAGTCCCACGTAAAGAATTAAAAAGGTTTGTTCTTTAAGATTTGTCCCAAATAAACGGCTGCCCAGATTAACTGATGGCCCAATTAACTGGAATCTACTATGCTTGTTTATGGGGTTTTTGCAATGCAAGTTTGTGTTTATTCATTAACTTGTATGCCCAGCCCAACTCTTCTAAAGAAATGTTGAATGGGCACACCAGAACCAAATGCCAACCTCTTCATTCCTTGCAAAGTCAGTCCATAAAAATAATAACCCAGTGATCTGCAGCATTCAGCTAATTTTTGTTCCTGTTCTTCTTTGAAGATATTTTTGTGCCATTTTTTATTTTATTTTTTTAGTTTAAATTTTTTCCCCAAGTATATTGCTTTTATAAAGACTGGGCTTACTGCCTCCCCTTAAGCAAGTTTGTGAGAAGCAACTTCAGTGTGTAATATTACTATCAAGAAGGAATTTTTAAGTAACACAAACTTTGGGGTCACTGCTACAGCATAGAGTTTGGAAAGGGGGGATACCTGTATAAGTTATGTTTGGTTTTCTGTAAAACTAGATTCTAACATTGTCAAAATGGGTTTTAGGTGATACTACATACTGGAAAGGGAAGTTTGTTTATGGACTAATATTTATAATAATATAATTATTTTGACTGCCTACACCATTTCAGACATATAAATACTGTCCACAGATGACGAGAAAATCCCTGCAAGGGGAAGTCGTTTCTGGTCGGTGCGGGGGGAATGTTACTTATCAGCTGGACTAGAGGGCTGCTATTGGTGGGAAGTGTGATACATTAGAGTTTAAGGCTACTACACACAGACTGAAAACATCAAGCAGTTAAGAGTAGCGTATAGTGAGTGCACCTTTAATGTGTTCTGCGGGTGTTGCGATAATATTCTAGATTAAATCGCTGTGCCGCTGTGAGGTAATCTTAAAGCTGTACCCATTAAAACACATGAAAGATTGTTGTCTGTTGTTCGTTCAGTGGTTGTGGAATGACTGCTTTTAGGATGGGTCGTCACTCACTGCGAAATCTTGTGCATGCGCGTTTAACGAATTCCTAGCAGGGATTTTCTCCTGATCTGCGGACTGTACAGCTAGGTACATACACATGTTTGTTTTAATTCTAGTCTTTTTATTGTCCTTTTCATATCAGGGATTATTAACTAGGATTTGATGTTCTCATGGCTGTGAGTACAAAGATGGCTATCTTCTGGGTTGTAATGCTGTGTAGCCTGATAGAAATTTACCAGTGACTTCTGAAACATTGGTAAACTTCTGCCTCACTGCATGGTGCTACAACCCAGAAGACATTCATCCTAGGGATTATTAAATTTTATATATATTTTGTGTTTCCTTTTATTTCTCTTTCTTTGCTGCATTCACATTTCAAGTTACAATGTTACAATGTCATTAGAGCCCTGTACACTACAGAGAATTATAATAATAGATTAGATGGCAGAAGCAATTGTCAGGTCTTATTTTGAATTTTCCCTCTGATGCAGTTTCTCAGTTTTTATATGTACCACCTGAAAAGTTTCATGGTCTATGTTCCACGGTTTGGATGTGTATTTCAATGACCTTTGAGTCATGTTTGTAAATAAAAATCGACTACAGCCTGTGCACAAAACTGTACACTTTTCACAACCTGTGAGGCAGCCTACCTGATGCACAAACATGAAAATTTGTCATCCATTACCATTTTATTTGTGATTTATTTCACAAGGTTGTCAGTATCACAGAGTAATGCCACTGTGTCTGGTATGTTACCTCTTTGACAAGTATGTACACTGAAAACAGCCTGGTTTATGTCATCTGTTAACATTCTGTTGTTTTGTTGTGTTCATTCATTAGTCATATAAGATCTTTGAATTGCTTGTGACAGAAGAAAATAATTCTTGTAATTTATGGAGGTTTGAAACAAGTTTTGGACTCAGTAACTCCATGAAGGGAGTCTATGACAAGTCATTGTGATAGCTCAGGTATTCAAGAAATTTCCTGATTTTTTATGGAAATTAATAGGTTTATTACTTTGTATACAAGAGTCAGTTCCAGGACTGTGTCCTGAGCCAGATGAATTCAGTTTCAATCCCATATACATTTTACTGTTTGTGCCTTTATCACCCAAGTGATTGGCCTCACTAGGCTTTCTGACCCAAAGTGTGCATGCACCTCCCATTGTACAGGCACCAGCCATATCATGCGCCAATAATAATGTTGGATGAAGAGTAGAAATTGTGTTTAATGTACAGGTGATCCATACTACTCCAAGCCAAAATTAATTGCATGAAAGAATATGGTCTCAGTCAGCTTCATTCTGAAACACCAAGGGATTTTATGTCTCTCTTCTGAGAAGCCATGGGGCATATCAAGAATGATGCTGTTTCAACATACATGCGTGTGTAAGTGTAAGCTGGCTGCATGGTGTTTGCATGTAAATCTGCTTCATCTGCTATGCTCATGCATTTATACTGCATGTCAGCCACATACTGCTTGCTTCTTTATTAAATGTATTCTTTTATTTTCTGATTTTGAAAGAGGTAAATGTTGGACGACAATATGGGCCTGTTTGGTGTGACTAGATAACTGTCGACAAAGTTTGTCAAATTCCAGCTGATTTGGAAATGTCTGATATGTGAATGATTATGACATAAACAATATTGTGATACCCTGTAAATTATTTACTGTCACTGTTCAAACTGTATAGATTATACAGTGTTCAGTGAGATGGAAAGATGGTAATGAATGGTGTTTCAAGATTAGCAGTAGGTTCTCATAATCTGTTTTAAGAGTTGTGTCCTGAACTTCGCCTTGAGAGGTTGAGTAGAACCTTGAAAAATTTATTTGCTATGAACTGAATATGTGAACTGGTACAACAAGAAACCAATGGAGAGTAATTGTGCTTTTGCTAATTGAATGTTTTGTACATAAGAGAATTAGTTCAGAGGTTGAGGTAAATTTTCTTAGTTTCAGAATGTCCTGAATGTACACCTTGACTTCCACTTTCCAAATCATCTGTTAATTTCCATTGCAAAGATCATTAAGGCTGTCAGTGTGTTTGTATGAAACTTATTCTGTCCTGAAGCTGCAGTGAGTCTACTCCTTGTTGATCACTCATGACTGTGTATATGTGCTTGTACCCCACATCTTCTTGATCCACAACAAGAATTTATGGTTTGGATTTTTATTTAACTTTCTCTCTTGTTTCAGGTGTGTTAGTGTCAATGCCGCCTGCTCCTGTGGTGGCAGCAGCTGCCCCAGTAACTCAACAGATGAACAGCAATAATAAGAATATTGTGTCAGGTAAAGTCTTTCTACAGTACATTGATCCCATATTCATTGCAATCACTGACACAAGTCTGATTACATTTCTTTGTTAGTTTGTTTCTATATTTGATCCTTCTTTCAAATGTTTTTGAATTGTTGAAATGTAAAAAAAAAATATTTTTTTTACTGTTGCATGCAACTAGGTATAGCATCACCGTTGCTAGGAGTAACAGCAAGTGAGAGTGAAACGGCTGCTACTCCAGGCCACCAGAGGCAGCAGCTGCAACAACAGACAGCAACACAGCTGAATGGCACAACCTCAGCTAGTACCACCACTTTGGCGAACACAAAAGAGAAAACTCCCATGTGTCTTGTCAATGAGCTTGCGAGATTCAATAAGGTGAGGTGACCCTCTTTTTATGCCGACCTTAGCCATACTTACCCTCTCACGGTCGCATTGTCCCACTTAACCTGTACTTGGTTGCATGCCACTGCTATTACTCGATCATAATGGTGTGTATATTTAAATGTCCCCTGCCTCCATGGTAAGGTTCTTTTCAAGTGTCCTACATCAATAAAGGGTTAATGTGTTTCACAGCGATTCATTACCGTGTCGTACTTTAGGATGCTGACACTGTAGATTTTGACTTGTTGCCAGTGTTTCAGAGGACCATACTACCTCTATCATCAGGGCTGAAGTGAGGATTATAAGGAAGCAACTGATTTATATTGTTGCCCTCGGTGGACTAGTGGTTAGCGTGCTTGCCACTGGACCCAAGGTTCGTGGGTTCAATCCCGGCCGAAGTCGATGGATTTTTAAGGGTGATAAAAATCCATAGCATAACTTCCTTTCGAGGGGAAGTAAAGCCGGCAGTCCTATGTTGTAGATTTATGGAATGTAAAAGAACCTTGCGAGCATGATACAAGATGTTTCGTAAGCAAAATTTCAGCGGCCATTTCTCACCCAACTCTCTCCTGATTCACTGCTTCACTGCTAGATGGCTCTGGCAGTCAAATCAGGAGTGAGTAGAAATTGTGCAGAGTCAGTGGGCTAGTCACTCACTACTCTTAAATGTACGCTTTAAAGACTATGAAACCTCCAAAAGGAGGAGTTACAGGAACTACCTATCTATGTAACTGATTTATATTGTGGTAGAAGGTGGATCAGGTCATGGGAACTGGCTAATGAAAACAAGTTAGGAGAGAAGTGATGGAGTCATGTCCAGTCCGATGAGAAGTGCCTTTTTTTTTTTTTTAAAGGATTGAAAGGAATCTGGGATGGTAGTGAGAAACAAGAACTGCCAGCTTTTTTAGGGGACCAAGCAGAGATTTGGATAATTGGGATGTGGTGAGTGAGACCCTGTGTAGTCTGAGGTCAGTGAGGATAACAAGATGGCAGGGGGGTGAGACAGACTGGACTTGATGCAGCTTTTACTGGCCCTGAAGACTGGTTTGTGGTTTGGGTATGGGTGTGCTGTCCTCCCTCTTCCTTAATTATGTGGATGATATTCTTTTACACTGGATTTAATTGATAGCTCCCTTCTCTGTTGAAGTTGTGGTGTGAGCTTGTACCACCATTTTCTCAACTAGACATTGTTGCTGGGCTCTCAGTTTGCATCTCTAACTTTGTTACCACATACCAGCCTCCAGTGATGGGAAGCTCAAAACTGTCATAAGAGAACTGCCGTATGGAGCAGTCTGAGGTGCAGTCACAGGACAGAGCCACTTTAAAACCTAGCTATTAGTACATGGATAATACCTTTGTCATCTGGCCATGTGTTTCTTCTGCAAGAACTTCATAACTTTCCTCACCACGTAAACAGCATCCATCCAAAAATTTAGTTTGTAACAGTCAGAAAGAGCGAGATCATCTGCTGTTCGTGGACATTCACATGTATGGAAGTCATAATGGGACCTTTAGCCACAAAGTCTATAGGAAGTTGTTACATTAACTGCTACTTCATTGCTCCCTCACATGTATATTTTCTCTAGAAGTTTGGCATCCTCTCAGCCTTACTACATAAGGCAAACATAATCTGAGATGTAGGTAGCCTGTGCACCAAACTTGTTTATCTCAGAAGAACTTTAAGAAGAATGGGTACTCTACTGGGCAGATCCACAAAGCATTCCACTTCAATGTAGCATTCATTGAGACAGCACAAACCAATTGGCACAGCTGCTTTACCATACATACAGCACCTGTTCTACCATGTTGGCAGAATACTGGCGTGGTATGACATAAAAATGATATACAGGTAGCCCTCGATTTGCGCCGGTTCAGTTTGTGCTGATTCAGAATAACGCAAATTTTGAAACCAACAAATCAAAAAGTGAGAAAAAAAAATACTATTATTTATAACGTTTTACAAAGTGTCTCGTACTGATTCTTATACTAAATCGTAATTCTTACATCGCTGATTTGAATAAAAATTATAAATACAGTCATCTCTGCAATTACGTATGTTTTGTTAACGAGAATTTGCTCGAATGAGATCGATGAATCAGTAAAAGCTGTTTGTGAAATGCAAACTTTTGCATATGCAAGTTTGCTCTTATGCAATTTCATTCCTGGCACTTAAAACTTTCTAAGGACTAATTTAATCTCTGCTGAGTACCGGGTTATTTTTACTATGCGATTTTGTATAGGTCGGCGTCTTACATGAATGCAACTATCACATAACAGCAGAGATGATTGTACACGTCAATCACATGAAAGAATCATAGTCAATCGCGGGGACCAATGAATTGCTGATTGTAAGTGTATAAAGTATATTTTTTAAATTCCCCTTATTTTATGTATGATATTTCGGAGCTTTAAATGTAATGCCATTATATTACTCATCAATGTTTGGGTGCTGGGAACGCATGTCATTGACTTCCTATTGATTTACATTATAAAAGAGTTTCAATTTACCAAGCATGGTACAAGAACTCCAGAAGACTGCCTTCTTTATATTCAACACTGTTAGAAACTCTGATCTCACTTGATGATGTTTTTAGTTTTGGTGCCATGTAGACTTGCTGATTTTGTTACTGACTACATATTTACCTTCGATTTGTTGGTAGATGCCATTGTTTTGGAGAAACATACTATCTCCATCTAGAGAAGTGAAGTGGCACCTACTGATGAGTGTACATGGTGCCAAAACCCAGATTATTATCATCACTTTGAAAACCTTACAGTCTCATAGAAAGACATAATTTCACAGTTTCTAATGTAATGAAAAAAGGTTTACATCGAAAAGTTTGTTACCTAACTGGTCAAGAAATTTCCCACTTTTTTGGAACCAGAAGATCATTACAATGTTTTGAAGAACCCACTATCAGATGCTATTATGTTTCACTTCAGTTTAATCCAGACTACCCTTTCACACACAATATTTCTTTAAGATCAGAATATGCCCCTTGCTACAACAAATTATTTCTGACACTCCAAGATGCAATTTTATATTTGAAGATTGCTGTCTTCTGGGTTGCTGCGCCATGTAGTCTGGTAGATGTCCAGCAACATTTCAGAGGTCCATGCTGGTTCCATCATCAGGGCGATCTACCAGACTACACAGTACAACAACCCAGAAGACAGCAATCTTCAGACTCACTGCCATGAAAACCTCAAATCCTACATAATTGTATATTTAATTGATGTAGATCCAGCACCAGTACCGCCTGACCAATGAACAAGGACCAGCACACAAGAAGCGATTCACAGTGACATTGAAACTGGGTGACGAGGAGTATTCAGCTGAGGGGGCAAGCATCAAGAAGGCCCAGCATTCAGCAGCCAGTGAAGCACTGGAGCACACCCAATATAAACATCCTCCACCAAAAACACAACGAAACATTCGTTTGGGCAAGAGTAAGTTGACACAAAGTTTTAAATTCTGTTTGGTGGTTGTATCTTTGTCTTTCATGATTTCTATTATATTTTGCTTTTGTTGTTATGCAACTCTTTTATTTGCTCTTATTATAGAATAGTACTTTACAGCTTGAGCTATTATGTTATATTCATAGTTTTCTTTTGACACCTAGGAAATAATATTTTGGTGCCCTTTAGAACAATGCTGTGTAAAGTGAGAGCTGTCAGTCATGTGGACAGTGAAATGAACACTGTGCACCACCAGTTCCTTCGGGCTGCATGCAGTTCTGTGACTGATTACTTCCAGTGGCGCTGGTGGTATTTTCCTAGTTCAATTTAGAGATGTGAAGCATGTAGCATATTGTCAACTGTCACTACTAGTAGTTAAGTGACCTGATTGCTATCATTATTTTTCTTTCTGTTGGTGTCTGTAGTATATGCCTTCACTTGTATCCCCCTTCATGGTGATTGCCATTTTGAGGATTCCACTACAGTCAACTGTAGAAGAATATAAGCTATGCTAGCAGAGCTGAGAGAGATATAGGTTGCTTAATATAAAGGATTAATAATCTGATAAGTTGTGACACCTTGTATTTTGGACACAAGTTTTTCAAACTTATGTAAACATTTAGTAATAGAATGCATGTATTTTGTTTTTCTTATTTTTTATTCATTTATTAATGTGTTTGTTGATAAGTTTTGATTTCAATGCATTTATCTGCGGTGTGGTTCTCAGCCTGTAGGTCGTGATACAAAAGGGGTCACATAAGACACGAGTTGTGGAAAACAAGAGTATTAGTATATGTAAGTGCAATCTCATTTGCTACTTTACATGGTTTTCACTTGCATACACACACCAATCAATAATATATACAGTATATAGCTGCAATGATTCATTTGTAGATTTGTACATATTATACTCTTTCAGCAACAAATTTTTCAGTTCTAATGGTCAGGTTTAGTCTCATATGCTGTTATTTGACAGTGCAGTTATTCATGATTATTACTGTGGTATTTGTATTGTGCATGTTTGTAGCTAGCATAACCTGAATATGATAGGACCATTACATGAGAGAAAGTAAAATATCAAAATGAGTTTATAAATTGTAGGTTTTTCTCTGTAATTATTAATGGAGAGGAAAGTGCACAGTCTGTGATATGCTGTGAAGTGCTAGGAAATGAGTTATTAAAAGGAAATGAATTAATATAACATCTGAAAATGAAACAATATTAAGAGGATGGAGTTTGTTAGTTTGCTTGAGGCCATTGGTGTGATATTATTTTTCTGGATCTGCATATGCCAAATGAGGATGAGTGTGATGATAAGGACACCTTTTTTAAGGGAGTAGAATGGAAATTCATTCAGTGCCATAAGTACCACATGTTCATGTTCATGTTATGACAATATGTGGGTCTTATGCTTTACAGGACAACCCCATTTCTGTCTGACAAAATAAAGTGGAAACACATTTAACAAACGGAATGTTTATGTATGTTCTGAATCAGTTACAACTGTAATATATGGTAATGTATAGTAGTATATTTCCTTGATTTTCAGATGCACGTTTTTTCACATTTTGCATTTTCTGAAATTGGGGTGCATCGTTCATTTAATGGTGCCTAAGAATTGATGCTGAAGAATTGCTGGATGTCTAAGTAAAATCTTCATGTTCGTAACACTAGTCATGGGAAAGCAAAAACAAAGATAGCAACAAAGAATATTATGAAAGTATTAATACAAAGAAGTTTTGTTTGAATATTGACAGTTTCTAATTTTTTCCTGGCTTCTTAAAATCAAGGATATATGACAATGTTTTGCATTGAGTAGTAATATCAGGGAGGGCAAACAAAAATAAAATGGAATTCCCCCAAAGACTGGCATGGTGTCTACTGCCCCTCACCCCTCAGAACCAAATGCAGAAAAATAAAACAAGCTCATTCTCTAAGCCCTTAATAGTAGCCAAACTCATGGCTTCCCTTACAGGGATAAGCTGAATTTGGAGAAAAAAGCAATACATGCCAGCAACATTGAATTTCCTGCCTTACTTTGAGTACATTTGCCAACATTTTCGATGAAAAGCTTGTGGTAGCACTGTTCAGAAACTACTGCTTCCAACAGCATCTGTGCAGTCTGATGTAAATATGAGGGTGAGTCAAATGAAAACCGTAAAACTGAGATAAAAATTCGAAATATCGCGCCATTGTCCTATAAGTTGGCAGACATCTTACCAATGCTATAAAGAGTATCCTATAGGTGGCAGTATAATGCAGACAAACAGAATGCCATCACAGTGCCAGTTTGAAGATTTCTGCTCCACTAGTTACATGCACGAAAGAAGAACAACGTTCTGTAATTCGTTTTTTGATCAGTGAAGGTGTGAAACCAATTGAAGTTCATCGACAGATGAAGGTTCAGAATGGTGATGCATGCTTGTCACAGCAGCAAGTGTACGAGTGGAGTAGGAAATTCAGAAATGGTGTGACGTCTGTGGCAGACGCTCCTCGCCCGGGTCAGGCACACGGAGTTGTGACCCCTGAGTCTATTGCAGCAG